GACGAGCATCGTAGTATACTCACTATATGTGTCCTTAGCACGCCCGAGGAAAATAAAGCGTATATATAGTTGGGATCTATAAGAAACCATCACCTGCCAACAATTCGTTCTACAGTTGAATCAAAAGTCGCAAACCCAGCTGGAGATAGAACATCCATTGCACGGTGGTAAAGCTTGTCTAAGCGAGTACTATGACCAAACTTCTTGGCAGCTGCCCGGGTCATCTCTCCAGCCCCCCGCATAGTGTTCAACGAATCTATAGCCCTGGCAAAACATGTATGAAGCCTCATGGTTTTGATGTTTCACATGATTCCTTAACATCCAAAGTTTGTCCATTCAAACCATAGTGCAAGCCTGGCCAAAGCTGATCCGCTGATTCCACAGCAGCATCATGACGATCAAGACAAACAACTGCATTCACAAAAGGGCGGGTGACAATCTTCTGAACAAAACCCAATCCACAAAATGAACTATGCGCAATAAACAAACTCATATACATATGGCCTTAGGAGCTTCCCACTCCAATAGGGCAATGGCAACATCTTCAACAGTACGGGCCATGCCAAGCAAAAGAAAGACCCCCCAGCTAAGAGCAAAAAGAGCTGCTCTTTGGAAGCGTGCACAAAACTTCAAATATGTCTGCAGCAGACTGTGCACATAAAACTTGCATTAATGATTTGCCAACTGAGCCAGGGATACCCTTCGGTTTCGGTGCTGGCCGTCCTGGGAGAAAGCCCTTGCTCACAAGCAATTTGCCTGCCATGGTGTACCTGGAGAGCGGATAGTCGCGGACAGTATATCATGCAATACAGGTTTGATCCACGGTGGATCTATAGCCTTGCAAGGGGCCTCCTTTGAAACATTCAGGTTCCATGCAAAAATATTGGGAGGATGGCTGAAACCATGTCCATGAAGAATCCTGATCGACAATGTGAAGCACTACGATCATTTCATTTCCTTATAGTTGGGGGGGATGTTGAGTGTTGTTCTCCACACACCTGCCCTTTTCTCTTTTCCAGACAAGGCATGATCACAGGTGAACTTGCCAGCCAAGCTTGCTCAAGTGGTTACACACTCCATGGAAACCGCCCCAACTATACATGTTACGTGCTATTGTGTGCACCCACTAAACGCCTGGCTGTATCCTACTTATGCTCACACACGCCTATGCTGTTCAATCTGCAGCCACAAAACCTAGAAAAGAAGTGGCAAAAGCACATCTTGGATCACACTCAGTCGCACTCTTGCAGGATTTGGCCCTTCTTGTTCAGGCACTCGCCTTTGGAAGTGGATTGGAAAGAAAAGCTAAACCCAAACACATTTTGGACATCATATTGACCCCACGCTGTCGCACTAACATTGCCAACTTGCCTCAACCAAACCAGAAACAAACCACACACCTTAAATCAAAAAAAAATCCCTGATAAAATGAAGCCAGGCACAAACATGTCCCAACTTCAAGAACTTGTTCACAAGTTTCTGGTTGATGCACGTGACATCACCGCCCTTCTTCTTAAGCTCATCCCGGCAATGGGTCCACCAATACTCCTGTTTGCAAACAGACCGGATGATCAAGTTGGTTATATCTCTTTTAGTTTTCTTGGCCACGAGGCGGCCTATGAGGCATGCCCCTGGAAACATATACTAGCTTTACCAAATGGTGTACGCATGGGTTCCAAAGTTTGGAGAAACAATAGTACCCTTTAATGAACGAAACCTTCAATTATAAACACTTCACTTCATTTGTTGATAGCGCTCCTCGACATAAGAGTGGTAGTTCACATATGGCCTGATCGCGGTGTCATAGACCTCCCGTTTCTTGTCCCACTTCATGGCCTGAGCCTCGATCTTCGGACGGTACCGCTTCGCGAAGGTTGCCTTCTCTGAAGCCTCAGGTGCATTCACTGCCTCATTTTTCTTCGCCTTCTTTTTCGGCTGTGGTGCCTCCACATCCTTCTTCACTTTGCGCTTCTTCTCTGGAGCGCCCTTGGAATCTTCCTCATTTTCTTCTTCTTCTTCCGGTTCTTCTTCTTCCGGTTCTTCCTCTTCCGGTTCTTCTTCTTCCGGTTCTTCTTCTTCGGGTGCCTTTGACTTCTTTGTCTTGGATGGTTTGGTCTTCCCTTTTGCCGCTGCCTTGGCTTTGGCCTTGGCTTTGGCCTTGGCTCGTGCCTTGGCTTTTGCACTGGCTCTTGCCTTGGCCCTTGCCTTGGCCTTGGCTTTTGCTCGCGCCCCTTTCTTGGGCGCCTCTTCATCTTCATCTTCATCGCCCTTTTCCTCATCCTCATCCTCGTCCACTTTGTCTTTTCCTTTGCGCTGTTTGGCTTTTGCAAGCGCAAGCTGCTGTTCACGCAGCATCTCCTGGACTTCAGCCGTACTTTTTTTCTCTTCACGTTTCTTGGCGTCCATCTCCTGACCAGGGTCAAGTTCACCAATCTCCGCAACCCAAACCAAAGCACGGAGGGTGGCTTGAATTGAACAGAAACTAGCCAAAATAACAAGAGATGCAATTATGAGTCCTTGGCCAATGCTTCATTCTCTTTGGCTTGGCACTGGGTCATCTTCTCCTCCAAGGCCGAGCTTGCTGACTGTCCGCCCGCTTCTGCTGCAGTCTCTGTCTGCACCACCCTTGCGGCAGTCTCAGGCTGCACCACCTTTGCAGCAGTCTGAAGCTCCGCTGCCTCTGTGGGAATCTCAGGCTCCACCGGCGCAGCAATCTCAGGCTCCACTGAATCACTTAGATCGATTGCTTGGGTCGGCAGCGCCAAGTGACCTCAACTTGCCCCCAAAATCATTTTCCTTGTGGGGAACAGGGTTGGTTTTGGGGGGTCCCAGGCCAAGTGGGAAGTTACCAGCCTTAAACTATAGGAAAAATGAACATATTAACATTCGAGCAACCCATGCTGCTTTGCCCTGTCTTGCTCAAATCTGTGCCGTGACCATCAGGAGGATGTTCTGAATTTGCTTGCACCTGCCTTGTGTGATGACATCCACAAAAAAACCTTGCGCGCATGTAAGCCAATGAAAGCTAATGTTCCAAAAGAACCTTGAAAAGACAAATTTAGCAAACAAATGTTCTTGACGAGGAACATTTTTTGCTTCACAGCCCGAAGAAGCTGCTGCAACTGAACTGCACTGGCCCCCCCCCATCTCAGCGATTTCCCCATCCTGAGAACCTATGGGTGCAATCACAGGAGCGGAAGCACCAGCAGCAGGAGCAGCAGCTGCAATTGCGGGGATCTCTGTCTGCCACGGTTCCAGTGGCTGCGTGTCTGGTGACTCCATGGCTAAACGCTCCAGCTCCCTCCAAGACCTTTCCTGCTCTTCCACAAAAGATTCGTTGCTGCGAGTCAATGCTGAGCGGATTGTCATGTCGCTACAGGAGCAATTGTCATCATCAACATCACCATCATCGTTCTCATCATCAAAGAATGGGGAGCGGCCTTCCTAGGTAGACAAGTAGGCCCTTTACGTTGTCACCGATGTGGGTTCAACAAACGCATGATGAAAAAGTGAAAACACTGCAAAACAAAACCAGACCGAGGGTCTTTGAATGCTTTGTCATGGGCCTTGCTGAGGTCCTTGACCAAGTCCCGAACATAGCCGTCCTAAAGAGCATATTCTGTACTCCAAACATGTTTAATGGAGCCAGCTACAAACTTTCAACCACCAAAAAACGGAACAAAATTTCAGGGTAAACAAACAATCTAGTGACCCGAGGCATCTCCCATCTTGACCACTTGCGTTTCACAACATGGAGCATTCTCTTGATGTGGTACGCTGTTCCGTAGCAAAGTGCTTTGACCTCTGCAGTGCCTGTATCGGCCTGCATCAACTCGTAGAAAGCAATCACAGGTTCCTGGATCATACGAATCCTGTTGGTACAAATAATTCCAGCAGCAGCCATGTGTGCCGTAAAGCCCTTCAAGATCGGGTAGTTCAAGTTCAGGTTGGGAAGCGATGGGGCTATGATGGTGGAGTCTGTAGAGTCTTTGTCAACCATCAACATCTCTTTGGAAATCGCCCGCTTTCTCAACTCCCGGTTGCCCTCCCAGGACCGGACACATGGCTCTTTGTAGGAAAATTCCTCACCACTCGGCGATTTTGACTTTGCCACCATGACTGCTATTGAGTGCCACCTATTCCCACTCTAGCCAAAATTTGCGGCAAAGTACAGTTGTTAGAGGGGGGTGCCCCAAGTCAATCCCAAAGATGATTCCCAGAGCATTCCCAGTTCCGCTTCCGAAAGCCTTCCCCAATCCCATGGGGCACCACTCCGGGTCAAAGAGCTCACCTCGCCGCCGAGGCTCACCCCTGTCATGAGCAAAGCGAAGGGAGAAAAAGGGATGGGGATCCAGTGGGATCACGCGGCACAGGAGCATGCAGCATACAGCATCTAATCATGCCAGATGGACTCTCCATCACGGCTTTGCCAAAAGCCGAAACCATCATGGCTCGCATTGAGCAGTTCAAGTTGGCAAGCTTCGTAGTTTAAATCATCCTCTTGTCAAGGTTGTTTATAAACATCAAGTGCAGCAGATGTGTTTTGTGATATCATGAATATCTTGTGGAAAGTTAATCTTCAAGAGCAGTGCTTAAAAAACTTCACTGAGCCATCGTAAGCTGGTGAAAATAGTAAGTGTCGAGGCACTATGAAAGAACCCTCAACAGGAAGTGGTCGTTTCAAGGAAATGGTCGTTCACACAAACCACCAAAAGTTTCTGGTCGTTGGGTTACCCAGGTATATATATATATATTTAGATTATATGCAACATCTGTTTGTTACTTGTTACTGTATCTTTCTAGGATAACTTTCTCGAAATCTGCAAGGCGCACGATAACATGCAAAGCAGGAAGTTGGCCCAACTCTTGACCCGCCCATCCAGGCTTGAATAATATATAATTCATGTATATTCATGTTCTATGCTGATTTGTAACATTGCGTTTGCTTCAATCAGCAATGAACACCATCGTCCAACCTGATTCGACACAGTGCAAGGATCTGAGGAGGTGTGCCAAGGCGATAAATAGGCACAAGCAAACAGCATGCCCACCACATAGCATTTGTTCAATGAGGAGCGAGATAAAAGCCAGGGGAAAATGACGTAGACTGTCAAGCATCCATACCTGCGGGTTTGAGCCCGTCGTGCATCTGTGATCGTAATCTTTTTGTAGTCTGGATCCAGCATGCGAGCATCAACACGTTTTTCGCAACAACATGGCACTGACGGCCCAGTGTGAAAATCACCCAGTACTTATCAGAATACCTTCCTTTACATGTTCACGCCATCTGGACCCTCTGCTCGCAGGGAGGGAAACGACTGGCACGCTGATGCTCAACCTATTCCTTTGGTGTCACCAATGAAACTTCGTGAAACCATCGACCAAAGAAATCCGGAAGGCGCCAAGAACTCGTGGTGCCACCATCTTCACAGCTTCGACCCCAGAATTCAAGCCCTGACGGCCCTGAGAATCGGTCGATTCCAAGGTGCTGATCTGTCTATTCCAAGCCCCCCGGAGACATCGAGTCCCGAACGAATCGGACCCGAGGTCTCTCGGTCTCTTCGCCCAGCGACACGATGACATTGGTCCAGGTGAAGGCAGGAGACATCCACCTGAGAGTGTCAAACGTCCGCTCAGAAAATGGGGGATGAGACATCCGCTGTTCAGTTTACTGTGTGGCACAAGTGAGATCACGTTTGCCGTCTAAAACTCTAGAAATTCCGCTGTCACTGCTTGCTGCCTGGATCTTCTTGCAATCTTGCACTCTAGTCAAGTCTCTTCGACAGAGATTCCAACGTTTCATCCACACTGAAAGAAGTGAATGCACTGATGCTTGGTAAGTGGTTACATCTGGACTCCGGACCCAACTAAAAAACAAGACCTTGACCAAGCAAGGTGGAACATTCAGCGTGAATCAAACCTTTATTAATCTTTATTAAAACCCAGCAGTGAACACCCAACAATTTGAACCACAACCAACCAGAACATACAGTAACTATACTATCCAAATGCATGTTCACATATAATATTTATTGGCCAATTACACAAAACAAATGTTGGACGCCAAATCTGAGTTGATGTTCTTGGTGATACCCAACGACGGCCGTGGCCTGTGCCGTCCCAAGAGCACATTGTATTGGATGGACAGCAACGAACCTTGCGACTTTACGCCGCAAGGGCAAGCAAAAACAACCCATCAGGTTTTTTGCATCTGCATCTCTCGTAATCATGATATCCTAAAACACAAATCCAGCTGATTCGCTGCAAATGTTGGGGGGTGGAGCGGAGCCAGTGTCAAACCAAGAGGGAAAACAAACTGAAACAAACACAATGATAGAAACACTCATTGAAGTGCCAACCAGGAGCTCAGACTCAAAAAACTATAAGCCAACAGAAAGCGATGAGACCACAAGACTTGCATGTCAGCAACAGCTTCCTGGGCCAGCCGCCTTGGGATCCGGCGAGATCTAACCGTGGTCGGAAGAAGGACGAGTATGACCAGACGACAAACAGTTTGGATCTTCACGAAGTATTTGAAAGTTGATCTAGCCAGCAGGGGCTTCGGGAACTTCCGCTCCTTGGTTTTATTGTAGCATCTTTAAATACAGTACACATTCCAAGCAGCTACTGATCATCGGTAGCTTGAGGTTTGTGAAAGATTTGCCCCCTATGCACCACAACAAGCGCATCAAAATCACCTGGACCCTTCGGTGTCCGCCGGCGACAAGGGGTTCACAAAGCTTGCAAGAAGCACGCAAGTGGAACCTTCAGACACATCACTATCTGTCACTATCCTTCAGTATATGTCTTTATCTTTCCCAACCTCCCAAACCCCTGCACCGATCCACCGATCCAGACCAGTCGGGTGACCAAAAGGTAAGCATGGCGTATTTCCACAAAGAATACTTTACTTCGAGTCATCCCCACCATGACACTTCAATCAGTTGTCTTCATGCCGTGGTGAGGAGCATGTTGCCATGGTCGTGAGGTTTGTGGTGCTCGGCTTTGTTTGCGGGTACTCGGGTTGTGTGCTGTGGTTGTGTGCTGCGGTTGTGTATTGTGGTTGTGTGCTGTGGCTGTGTGCTGTGGTTGTGTGCTGTGGTTGTGTGTTGTGGTTGTGTGCTGTGGCTGTGTGTTGTGGTTGTGTGCTGTGGTTGTGTGTTGCAGTTGTGTACTGTGGTTGTGTGCTGTGGATGTGCCTGTCTTTGTGGTTGTGTGTCTGTGATTGTGTTTGTGGTTGTGTGTTGGTTGAGGTCCGGCAGCGCCCAGTGCGCTCGGGAGCTGGCGGTTGAGGTCCGGCGGGGAACACTGCCAGCCAGAGCTCGCGGTTGAGGTGAGGAGGCGGCGGATGAGGCGGAGGCGGAATGCTGACACAAACCTAACAACCCTCACCTGACAGGTGGGGAATGGTGGGGAATAAGGAAAAAATGCTCCACAATAAACACACAAAACTGTTAGGGGCAAGCCGCTGCGCGGCAGGCGGGAGCAGAAAAAAAACACCGATGATTGATTTAATTTGACACATCACATCACATCACATAACTACATGACATCACATGACAAATTGTGACAAGCTGTTTCTTCAAGTAGGCTTTGTTTTGAGTCACGAGTAACTCAGATCACACAACAATCCTCAAACGCGTCAAAGACCGCCCATTCAAGACAAGTTGAACATGGCAAAATGATAAACACATCCCCAAGAACCCCCCTTGCAAAAAGTCGTGATATCGAAAGCGGCCCCCGTCTTGAGACCAATCACGTGGTGGTGGACTTTCGCAGCATCCGGAAGCAATGTCGTGGCCAAGTGCAAATTTGCCGTAAGATGGTCCAACAGGCACATCCAGCACTCCGATGGATGGAATGAAGAAGCTTGATCAAGAAGAAGGCCTCCAACCTCAACTCGAAGCTGCGTGCTTCGCAAAGGGGCTTGTTCGACCGTTCTTCACAGTAACTGAATGGGTCAAAAGCGTCCACAAGTTGAAGAACAATGCTCCATAGATGATTGGAATTGACCAAGTCCAATTGAAACACTGCATCCTCACTCTGGTATCTTCTGAGGCTTTTTCACACGTCTGATCTTCGATCACAGAAGAGGTCTCTCCGCTTCGGATTGGAATCCCGACCAAACTCTCTCCTACGACGGCCCGACCGTTCAGGCCGTGGAACTCTCTCCCAAAACCCGACCGTTTCAGACTTCGAGACACGACCACGACAACGAGACGAAACCCCCACCCCGTTCCCCGAGGTTCCGGTTCCGGCCGGGTTCCAAATGTGCACGGGAACCGACAGGAAGCTCCGAGCAAACTGACTCTCTTTTTTCATGAAGCTGTTTCGTGTGGCAGCCAGGCAGCAGGAATGATACCATCAATAGCACAGCCTCCTCCATCACGCTTGCAGCGAACAAGGCTCCAGACCCTCCAAAGGAGCTGGTTCAGGGGTTGTCACGGCCGAGAATCTTAGTCTCGAAGCTTGGAGCCACTGCTGACCCGTTAGTACCACAATCCTGCGATCCTGCACAAATTGCGGGTAGGATGGGTCAACCACTCCTGTGCTTGAAGTCACCCACATGCCATTCATTGCCATTCTAGATCCTACTCACAGCAAGCAAAGGGATGCAAAGCGTCCCTTGTGGCATGTGCTGTTGCACAAAACGTTTCCCAAAACAATAGAACTGTTTGCCCTGGTGAAGCATGCAATCTCTTCAACTTCCCACCCTGGACCACCTTGACGTGCCCCAACCTCTGAATCCCCCCCCAAAAAACGCCCCAGCTCTCTGAGCCGTAGACTTCTTTTCCTTTTTGGCCGCCTTTTTTTGGACCTTCGCCAGGGCCATGTCCACCTTAGATCTTCTCCCCAAGGGCTCGGCTCGACCGGCTCGGTGCGTTGATCGGCTGATGACAGTGATGACATGACCGATCGACATAGAATTCACATAGAATTCACATAAGTCTAGATCGGGAGATCCACGCTAGGGCCACCACGTCCTTTTGTGAAAGTCGTTTCCTGACCTGCAAACACATTCAAAAGGAGATCGGGTGTGAATTAGAATTTGTGTGACCATGGCAAGTGCATATTAACAAAAATAATCAACATTCTACGATGTAGATGAGATCATTTTGATGTTAATACATATAGAGAACGAAAGTGAACAACTAAGCAACAACACAGCACAAACAATCCCTAGTTTCTCTTAGAACCTTGGGATCCCTTATCCAAGATCGTCAGAGATCTCTTACTTAACCGACAAGGGTTGCCTGTGCACACGATGTCCCACACAGCCTCGCCACGAGCAAAGCCTTGCAGCTCTTCCTCCTCGTTTGGCAGGCTCCGGTGCGCCTCAGCGTCCCCGTGTCACGGTGATACCTACAGGCGATCTTAGGCACGCCTTTTTTGGGCGCGTATCAAGGCGATTTCAAGGCGTATCATGGAAAGTGAGATCTAGAAACCAATCAATTGAAGGGATTTGGCCTACTTGATTTCAGGAGTTCGGGACTTGTCCCAAACACCCCAAGGAAGCCCGCTCGTCTTGCTCCACCTTCGTCGGCACCGGACGCGGTCGGACGCGACACCGGACGCGGTTCTCGAACCGCGGTAGTCGGTTCGCCGGAAGGCAGGAATCCAAGGCCAAGAGTCACTGTCGGTTCTTCTTTTTGGAAGGCCAACATGAGTCACTTGGTCTCAAGTTTAGGAAGGCTGTTGTGTTGTGGACTACAACAGTCACAGCAGTTCAAGTACCTCACAGCAGTGTGGTTTTGGAGATCAAAAACCCCAGGTGGTATTGACTCACCAAAGGTTGCTGGCAACAACCCTTTCTTCGTGGACAACGTACTCTGCCTCGCGTTGTGCAATGGCCGCCCTCTCTTTGGAGAAGCCTTGGCGGGATGAGGGAGCTGGTAGAGCTTGCCAAAAGGTTGCATTTAGCAAATGATTCCAAAAGTAAGTAGCAAACTGCAGGCTTTGGACTAGGAACGTTCCTAACACTATCTAGCTGAGCATTTTGTAAATCTACAAAAGGTACAAGAACACAGCAATCAGAATGTTGGCAGTAGAACATCGTCAAAGTCCGCAGTGCAGGGCTACAACACATGCAATGTACAGTGCAGCAGCCAGGTTGTCACAGTCTTCCTAATTGCCGACTACTGTCAGAAACATAAGTTGCCAAAATAAAAGCACTGTATCACTGGTGAGAAACATTAAAACAACAGCAGTTATATAGAAGCAGCACAAGAAATGACCGAGTTGATTCGCAAACATACCATCATCGCACCCGTCTTGTTCTGAGAAGCAAACACTGGCAATAAGACCCCAAGAGTCTAAATGCCCAAAGAAAGGAATACCAACGCCCCAAATTGATTTTATATATGTTGTTTTGACATGTATTTTTAGAGGATGAGGATGAATGAGGCATGAAAAATGGTCCCTGAAAAAGACTAGGATGGTTTTCTTGTCCAGTGCCTGTGCTGGCTTTGGGTGACTGAGTCAGTGCCACCACTTCATATAGCCCTGCATTCACTCCGGGGTGCTTTTCCGTTCGTTGAACCTCAAAGAACCGAATCCGCCCCCGCTGCTTGGCCCAGTGGCAAACGCCAACTGCTGCAGTGTTCAGAGTCTCTCCCTGAAGCAACTCCTGCGACGTCGACGTCCGCGACGTGGGTCCTCGGGACGACCCTTCGACGGGAGGTCTCTTGACGCTGCGTCTGGGTGATCCACAATGACCCACACATTGATCTCGGATTGGGTCGGGTTGCTTTAAAAGAACATACAACGCTCGGCGTAGTTGTGGGTTCTTTGCAACTTCTAATTACGAGCATTGTAGTTCAAAACATGCTCGCCAGGTTCTGCAAAGAAATGCCGCAATAAACTCCATGCACCTCATTCCACTCATTCCACCTCCATCCTCACGACTGTTTTACTACCAATCTCCCTCTGACTCTGACCGCAGGCCAAGTAAGAGTATCCCGTCCAGCATTAAAACCAAGGTGGAATAAGAGTATCACCAACCCTGCCGAGGACGCTCGGTGAACGGTCGCGTCAGGCTCGGCTCTCCTCTCCAGGGAATTCCGTGGCCAGCCACGCCTCGAAATCGTCCGAGTCCTGAAGGCCTGGCATCGACGTCTCCGCGACGCCGGCGTCCGGACAAGACCACTCGCACCGGGATCTAGATCTCCACCCGGGCCGGATGGGTGGAACAACGTGTTATTATATATATATACTATATACTGTCTATATAATTACTGTCCCTATATATATATATGCATAAATATATATATACACATTATCGTGATTCTATATAAGATATGGTGGCAGTGCGTCAGTTGCTGATGAAATATATCAACAAGGGGCCCGGGAGACACCTTTCAGAAACAAGCAAAATAAAACCTTGGCCCAAAGGACATGTTGTTTCTACATATCCATGGTTTTGTGTTTTATACATATCCAAATTCTGTCGACGGCCAACGAACCAGCAAGGAACCCGTTTCATGTCCGAGGTGGGTCGAGGACATGTCAACAAAGAGACCTCTGACCCGGACGCCCGAGGCACCCTTGGCTCTGCCGTGCTGACCGCCGGATTAACAAACACAATCATATATACATTATACATCAGGATCATGGAGGCAGTGCAACAACCAAGCACTTCGCTCGAATCGGATCCATGCAAATCTTCAGACTTCTCCGACAACTTCAAACAACATTGTCCCTTGGCGGATTGTCACTAAAGCCAAACATTCTTGGGTCGAGTTGTTTCGGTGTTTTCAAATCCCTTGATCATGTTGGATGATGTTACATGTTATACTATAGTTATAAGTATAGCCTTTGCTCACTGTGGAAAGCCTCCTGTTTCGTAGAGGGTTCCATCATCTTCCAAGGGGCCATGCCATCCACTTCTATGCTAGTTCCATGGGAGTGTATGTTGTTCATTCCCTATATGAGAGATGTTATATGATGACTTATATGATGTCATAGTTAGGTTATAGCCCAAAAAGGTGGTGAGCTTCCCTTTGGCAGCTTTTCTTCTTCCGAACATCGAAGCCCAATCCATCAACGCCTAGGAGTTGGGCCGCTCGTCCAGAACGAACCTCACAGTGAGTTGCGGCGTGGGCAGCCCGTGGTGAGTCTGAGCATTTCGTTGGAAGAATTCGGAAGATGGAGGTATTGATATACTTAGGGCAGTGGATGTTCTGTATTGTCTATGATACACCGTCCACAACAACAAATATAGTTGCTCTTGCCCCTGGTTTCTGGCAAATTTGTTTGTTCCTTGAGTCTGGTTCTGAGTCCTCGATTCTGGTGAGTCTTCTGCTGAGTCTCGTTCTCTTATTGAACTTATTTTTCATGATACGAGCTTTCTGGGAAATTGTGATCACAAATCTGATGGTTAGTTTCAACCCCCAAGATCAAAGCTTGCTCTACAATGTGTCTAATTCCGAACGCACCTCTCACAATCCATGCGGACTCACACGCATGGGCCCCGGCCCCAAAACCACGGCTTTCAGCTTCTTCATCAAGACCAGACCCATCAAGCAGGCACTCTGCCAGATCCACTGAGCTCCTCCGACCCCTTGTGGAAAGGCTTTCGCCAAGACCTCCAGGCTCTTTCTGCGGACCTCGGCGAACGAATCCACTCCAGTGTGTCCTACCCTGGTGTCACACTTGGTGACCCCGAGCTGGTGGCATTCGGTCTGTTCTACCTAACATGTGATTTGTGATTCCAGATTCTAAGAAACCTAAGAGACATCACTAGCGACCTTGATACAACAAGATGGTCAACAAAATGGGCCATGTGTTCAACACTCTTTGACATCTTGAGCTCCAAACAACAGAGCTGCAGGAAGGCCAAACCACAGATTTACTAAAAAAACTCACAAACACCTATGGAATGGGAAAAGTGCCGCACCATATATGATTTATATATACCTGGAGTCTCAAAGTACCTCGGAAAATGGGTACAAGTACCTTTTTTTTATGGGGTCATGTCCCATTTTCTAAGGAATCGGAACACTTCCCCCGTTGGTCTGGTGCGTGCAGACGCGGACGAATGTTCAACAAATCCCAGTGCCTTGATGTCAGGAAGGCGAGGTGTTGTGTGGGGCGGAATCGTGTCTTCTTTCGACGATCCGTTTTCGATTGGGAAATTCAATTTCAATCAGAAATTGCGAAAGCTTTCGGCACGCCATGTCTCATAGAGGCTTTCGCGGGGCTTTTGCCAACCTTTCCCGACCTGCTTTTGGGCTCTCGCAAAAGCATGTGAGCTTACATGTTGCACACTTTTCACCGTTGAGGTTCTTGAACTTACTCTCAAATATATATATATATACAATATGTATGTATATAATATGTGTATACAGTATCTGTATCTATATATATACATGTTGCAAGTCAGTGGCA